ACACACACACACACACACACACACACACACACACACACACACACACAACTGGGAAAACCACAGCTTTCCAGTGTCTGAAGGTTCTGGTGCTACTCTGGTTTACCAGCTAAAACCCCAGCTTGTTTTGCAGCCTTTGTGCAGTTGCATCCCAGTGACTCGGTGGTGGCCTCCCAGATCGGGCCCACACAGAGCAGCCAGCATGTTTCTTCTAGATGTCATCTCAGAAGCGGGGTTCGGTTTACATGAGACACCAGCCTTTAAGACCAGGGGTGCAAGTGTACCTTTAACAAGTCAGAGTGATAATTGTGATCTTGTGCCCTGTGTTAATGGCACGAATTTTGTTTCTCAATGAGCTTTTTGTAAATGGGATACTCGTTTAAAAGTTATCTTCTTTGCAAGGTTTCTGCTCGCCCCTCTCCCTTTGAGAGCTCTGTTTTCCCGGACTTTCAAATGCAGGGAGACCCTTTTTAGAAAACTCCTTCTCTTCAGCAGATTTCAGATACAGCCGGGTCACACCATAGCCCCTCCGATGTAAGAATTATACAGAAATACCTGGTAGAGAATTGTTACCTTCAGGGTTAATAACAGCCTCCCTTCCACTCCAAGGACCACCCCAGTTCCCTTGAGAAAGGCTTCCTGTGTTTCATGTTCCTGTAATTCATTACTGGGCAAACTCTGCACTCCTACAGCTGCTTCCACAGATGAGCTCAAATGGCTGCTCTCTCCCAGGGGGCTGTAAGGTTTTACTACTCACTGTATACCGGGCAGGCATTTCTTCAGAGGTTTCTTCTAAAGGAGACAAGTTGAATATACTGGAATATTTTTACCTTGACTCAACTGCCTGTGGGATTGGACTAACTTGAAAGAAAATGTTGCCCTAAGCCTTCTATCCTGTTAGGTATGAAAAAAACATTTTTTTTAAAAAAAGATTTATTTATTATTTATACAACATTCTACCTGCACACCAGATCTTACTATAGATGGTTATGAGCCACCATGTGGTTGCTGGAAATTGAACTCAGGACCTTTGGAAGAACAGCAAGTATTCTTAACCTCTGAGCCATCTCTTCAGCCCCCTGAACATCTTGTTTAGGGTAGGCACTTTCAAGTGCCTTGATGCCCCCTCAAAGCAGGGCTTACATTCACTTGACTGAGAAATCAAATTAAGGCTTCCAGAGACCTGTCCCAAGTCACAAAGCTAGAATAGCTGAGAAGGGTCTTGAACACTAAGCTTTATAAAGCATGATACCTTCATCCCTCCAGGGCAAAATGTGGAAAGGTTTTGTGGTTTTCTGGGTGTCCCCAGCTTTCACTTACCTTAAAATCCATGCTCTCGTGACTAAAGATGAGGCAGAACACTAACTTTGACCACAAAGGAATCCTTCCTTGACCCTGAAAAAAAAAAAATCAAGATGCAATTGTCAGAACCAAACCTGAAAGCTAAAGAGCCTGAGAGCTACTGAATTTCTGTTAATTTGCAGAAATGAGCTAAGTCATTGGCTCTGATAAGAGAGCCCTCTCGAGCACTGCTAGGAGGGCAGCAGCAGTCTAGGAAGTCAAGCAGAGCTGGGGTTGAATCTCAGGTCCATCACTCATAGGCATCATGATTGATCTAACTAGCATTTACTCACTCGTCAGCAAAATAAGTGAAATAATGATGCTCCTGTTACAGGGCTGCCCTGAGGATTAAAGTAGCATGTGCACCTAACTTAAACCAGAGTATGTTAAATGTTTAGTAACTCGGAGTTGATGTTATAATCATACAGAGCTGGTCCTCATTACAGTCCTGGATCAACCCATGGGTGGACAGCAATGCCAGGTATCAGTCTTCAGATTGCCTACCATCTATCTGTCTTGTCTGTCTTTCTGTCTATCTGTAATCTAACTATGTATCTATCTATCATCTTGTCATTTATATTAATCTGTTTTTATTAGGTAAGTTGAAGGATGGAAGGGCTGTTTTATTTGGCAGTACAAGCCTGTAATATCTCATTTTATTATCACTGAATCAAGACCTACTGGCTTTTAATTCAGGTAAAAAAACTGAATTGCAAAAAACAAAACAAAAAAAAAAACAAACAAAAAACAAAAAAACCTGCTCTGATTCAGTCTGCCTAGATTTTTGCACTGAGGGGTCTTGGGATGATTGTGATACATGGAACAATATGTTCTCAGCTTCCTTTCATTCAGGAAAGTATAAACATGTACTTTTTATAGATGGTAGATGTGGTGTGTGAATATATGTTGGTGTATTGATGTGTTTAGAAAACTAAGTGAGGGTGACTAAAGCTAATTCATTACTTTATAAATCTTAAAATTGGAATCAAAATAGAAATAACCCGTATCAGAAAAATCTGTGCAGTATAGCAGTGAAACTCTTAAGATAACAGGAAATGGATTCATGTCAATCACATGTTGAATGTGGAATTATTGTTAATAATCCCCACTTTAAATTAATAATTATTTTTATGCAGCCATGATTTAAATCTCTGGGATTTAATCAAATCATTGGTGGTTTTTGCTGGTGTTTTTATTCTCTCTCTTTCTCTTCTTCCCTCCCTCTCATCCTCCCTCCCCCTCTTCCCTCTCCTTTACTCTTTCTGCTTTAGGTAACTGATTGACAGGTAATAGTTTTGGGCATAAAACAGGAAATTAGCCACTCAGAAGTTGGCAGATGTTTATTGATTCACATTAAAGTGTTTATATATTATTTTTTTTACATTCAGACTTGCTTTCCTTAGTAATGCAGAGAGAACTGTTATTTAACATTAATATGCCGTTGTTAATTTTTGTAACTAGTTGCACAAGGAGAATCTTGATCATTGAAGGAATGTTCACTCTGTAAAATATTAATTTGCATAAATTATGGGATGTGGGAATATTTCTTTTGTATGATCAGAAACAAAGGCGAAATGGGTTTGACAAAAGCGTATTCATGCATTGCAGAGGAGGCCACTCCACAGGAGTCTTTTATGGTGAGGGCTTGCATGGGTACCTCTTTATATCATGCGGTGAACAGTGAGGAAGGACATCCCCTAAAGCCCACAGACGGTGAAGTGTACACAGAAAGAGGCTAAGACATACTTGATACCTCATCCGCAGGGCAGAATGTTCTAAATGGAAAGGCATTCTTCGGCACAACATTTGTAAACAATGCCAGGTAGGAGACTACATCACGTCCTTTTCTGTTTTGCAGAAAGCAGAGACCATTGGAGAAAAACGGCCTAGAGGCAGACCCAGGAAATGGGTGAGTAACCGGATATAATTTCCATTCATAAGAGGCAAAGAATGTCTTTGAAAATAAAATGAAAACAAAAGGGTTATTTCATGAATGACGTGAATTGGTAACTTCTGGCTTGATGAATCTCTTTGGAAGACTGAGCCATGTGACTTATGATCACTTCTTACCATTTGGTAAGAGGAATTAACAGCTTTTTTTTCCCCCAGGAGGTAACACTTTCCTTCTATCTCTTTCCACACCAAAGGAGACTCCATTCTTCCTGTAAAGATGATATGTTTATGGGTTGAGTAACTAGAGTTAAAGGCATCATGAGCCCTAAGAAGCTGACTACAACGGTGATAAAATTCAGACGAAACGTGAATGAGATAATTAAAAAAAAAAAATCTTTCTCTTTGTAGTTTCCTCTCTGGTTGTCTTTTGTACTAGCCTCATTTTCAAGGTAGTTGGTATGTATCATGTCGGTTTCTTCAGGAGACAGGTGTCATTTGCTGTGCTCCCAGCAAACCTTCATTATTATTCTACAGAGGGACAGCAGAGACATGGGTGCCAGGCACAGTGCCCACGTTCTCCTGGAATGTCTTTCCTAATGGCGTCTCCAGGGCAAAGAAAGCTGTTTCTCAAGAAAGTGGCAGGCTTGGTCTGGCCCCAGCCTGTCTAGGTGGCTCCCTCTCTTCTGAAGGCTCTTCCCTGGTTTGTTCCCACCCCTCCGCCTTTTAATGTCTCTTTCCTGTCCTTCAGGGTTGTGTTTCCCTTGTTAGTTTGCTGTTCCTTTCTCCTCAAGTTCTACATCACTTTCTATTTATACTTCGGTGTTGCCTTTCATTTAATTTATTCATCTTGTATTCCCCCTTCTCCCCCCGCCCCCGCTCCACATGTGTTAGGATTAGATTTCTTAGTGCAAGGAAATAGGGATGATCTTTAGATTAAAAACATCTTAGGGTTGCAGTGTAACTAAAGTAAATGCGTTTTATTTAGCCTGTTCTCCAATAAGTGAATTCTCTCCAAACCTTATCTGCATGACCATCCCTCAGTCTATGCCCCATTATCTCAAGCCATGAGATCACAGTGCGCCCTAGACTGCCTCCTTCCCTCCACAATGCTCAGGACTTAAAACCTTTTACTCCACTGTGGAAAATCCTTCACACACACACCCATCTCTATGCCTAACCGCCCCCTCCAAATATATAAAGCAATTGCTTTCGATTTCATTCACAATAAGCCTTCAAATATTCGAGGACAATTAACACAACCCACTTGTTCTCTTTTCTGGTATGACTATCTCTCCTGCATAAAGGAACATTCTTATTATTCGTTTCCGATCGTATTTGTTTTTGTTTGTTTGTTTTTAATCTTCTGAAATGTGTTGCCCAGAGCCAAGTGTCACATTCCAGGTGCGGGTTGTATAAATAGTGGGGTTTTTACCTCTCTTGTAAATATAGTTATCTGTTGCTGCTTAACTTCCCAGCAACACACTTGTTTGCATAAACAACTCTTTCATCAAGCCTATCTGTTCTTTGGATCAAGAGGATGGATAGCGCAGAGCAGGAAGGCTCTACATCCAGGGGTTAGAACCCTCCAAGAAGACTCCCTGCATTAGTGACACCTCTAAAACTCTAGGCCTGGAATTTGGAAACTTCTAACAGCTCACGTGGTAGCCGAATGGTCTCTAGTCTGATGGCGTCAGCTTTCTTATCTGCACTCAGGGTTCAGTAACCGGGAAGGAGCCACAGACTTGCTCCTGGAAATGAGAAAGTTGAAGTGCTTTTCCACCATGGTGAGCACAGCACTGAGTATGTTGCTATGCAAACAAACTAACTACAGGCCTGCTATTTCCTAAGCCTCCAGACCCTGAAAGCATACCCTGTCCCCTTGATGAAAGAGCAAGAAAGACCTGTGTACTTTTCCTAATAGTCAGTAGGAATTCTTTGAGATCATAGGGTTAGTAAGACTACAGGGAAATAAATTATGAGATGATAAAAGTTAACCAGCCATTTGCTTTTTATACCCACCACCTTTGAGGCACCTGCTAAGGTTCTCAAGTTAACCTCCACAGGTCGTAGTCTTGTCTGCTTTTCTCAGAAACTTTCTGTGGCCCCAGATTTGGTTGGTAAATTGATGACAGCTCACCCAGTGCTTCAGAACCCCACAGTTTATACCCACTCCTTTGGTGGCTCACACAGCTGTTTCTACCAAATACAGAGCACTTAAAGTGTCTGTATAATTTTTTTTTTCCTTAAGGGGTTCTTGTTTATTTGGAGGGCGCCTGGGTTTTACACATCTGATCTTCATGCTGTGTAAGAAAGGTGCTTGGGAGGCATCAGCCACGGAGACCCTGGCTTCCTGGAAACAGCTGTGGGACCCCCATTGACTTACCTGACTTCTAATTTTTATTGGCTGTGAGAATGGAAAATTTTAGTCCCTGATTTGGTCTCGGAAGAAGAGTCGCTCTCCTTAGGAGAGGAAATGGTGTATTTTTTCTAGACAGCGTGTTTCCTCTTTGCCTGTATATCTTCTGTTGGTGACTGCGCAATCAGTCACAGCGCAGCATTCTGTCCAGTGGCATTATTGGCTGGGAAGTTTGTATGGAGAAATAAATCACTGTGTTTTCCATAGGAAACGGGCTTGTGCTTCATGCTAAGTACGATTCTTTCCAACAGTGCATTCACTGATTGCCTTGAGTTGGAGATGTATGTTTGAACTGACTGGATTTGTTTGGTATTTGGTTTAGAGGCCAAATCGTTCTCTTTATTCTTGCAGGTTGTTTTAAAGTTCTTTTGCTTAAAAAATGTCCTTTAAAATTTCTTTTTAAACAAAAGTTTATTTAAACAACAAGATGCTTGACTGGAAGGGAACTCAAGGACCTATTCTTTTTCCAGTGTAATTTACCTCTGCTTAAGACAGATTGCCCTTCATGTAACATCTACATAAAGAAAAGTTACAAAAACTTGTCTTTGGTTTCACAGTGATAAGGAAAAGCCTTAAAATTCTTCAAGTAAATGAGGTATGCAGGGAGTTTTACGTTGTTGCACTTTTTTATTAAATCAATGACAGCAAAGTAACTTACTGGATTATTAAGGTAAGAGCGGGAAGCAAGCAAGCAAGCACAGTTTCTTGCGCCCACACAACAGTTACTTTGTGTCTAATCAAGGAATAGGGAAGGGAAATGAATGAATAGAGAAAACTACACCGTAGCAGTCAGGAAACACATCGAAGCTAATTGAGAATGTATTCTTGTCAACAACCAAATTTCTGGGGTAAAGTAGCAGTTCCCTTTTTTTTTTAGCAGACACCTCTTGTCTGCTGCTGGAACGCATCAACCACATGTTCAGCTTCCATTTCCAGCTGTGCAGGTGTGTCTGCTTCATTGATGGCCTCCCATCTAACCGGAATCTCATCTGCCTCATTGACAAACCCTGCTGTTCCCAATAGGCTTTCATTGGTTTAATAGCGGTGTTTGCTCCTTAATCTTAACCCGCACCTCAGAATGGCCCCGCCCACCACTTTCAAATTAATGTGACCGTTGTTCTCAAGCTTGACTCCTTCCTGGGGTTTCTCATCAACCACGACAAATATAGTCTCCTCAGCTGCTGATTCACAAAAGAGGCGGCAGGTTTTACTCACCCTGTCTTACTAATCTAACAGATCCCTGTGACCTGCCTGGAAAAGATCGCTGAGAGTAACTGGGATCAGTAGTTGGGTATTTAGTCAAGAGTTGGTTCACCAAAAATATGTAGATCTGAAGATGACATGGCATCTGTCCTGCCCCTTAGAAGAAATGAGGGATTAGTGTGTCCAGAGATCCCGTGAGCATCTTAATGAGAGAGGGTTAGGGATACTGCTACGTCCGTCCGCTGCCTCCTTTGGTCCATTCTCCTCAATTGGAGTTTTCTGAATTTTCACCCTCTGTACATGTAAGAGGTGAGAGTTTTTTTTTTTTTTAAAAAAAAAAAAAAAGGAGAAAGAATGGAACCTAAATTCCTTCATAGCTAAGAGCCAAAGATCAGGATTCAAGGTGGTTGGAGTTCCAAGTTTTGTCCCACCCACCACTCAACTAACTGTATCATCTTGAACAAGGTACATGATCATCCCATGGCCCCATTTTTCATCTGGAAACGGTGTAATTCCCAGAATGCTTGTGAGTGTTAGGAGGGAAAATGTGCGCAAAGGCTCTGTAAAACTCCTAACACGTAGCACTTGGTAAATGTTAGAGATTATGCGTAACTCCATTGTACGCCTTCCCCTTAACACCAGCTACACCCTGCACTTTAATTACCCATAGCCACTGGTGGGTATGCGTGAAGTAACGCGAGAACCACACACCACGTTGACCGCATCCTTTTCACGGTACCATTTCTTCAGTGTGTCTCTGTTGCGTATCATTGAGTTTAAGAATGGCCTGCCAGTGATATTGAAGTGGGTCTCATGTCTGTTCACAGGAGCGGGAAATTTTATATTGAAGCTAAAAGCCTTTTTTCTTTATAGGAGACGTTTGGTGCTGTGTCTTATTTAATTTTAAAAAGCACCTTTTAGTGCTGTTTACCTTACTACGTACTTAGAGAAACTCAGTGGTTCTCAGAACCTCAGTATCATTCTGTTGGTTAGTCAGCCCTCCTACCTGCTGCGTTTAGATAGTGTCTGCATTTCTCCACTTTGCCTGGAAAAAGGAGATCATCTCATTTTCTGTACAGGGACAGATAATGTTCGGCAAACCTCTGCGAGTGTGGGGCTCAGGCTCAGTAGCACAGCAAAACAGTAAAGACGCTCACTTCACTCACAAACATGCCATCCAGAGAGCTTCTGGGAGATAAGAAGGAAGAGCCTAGATACAAGGAGTAAGTGGGTGAGGCCAAGCAGTGCCCTTAAGTGGTCTGGTTTTAGAACATTTTCAAGCAAGAAAAATACACTTTGGTAGAAATTAATACTTTTTTCTCTCAAAAGGAAAATATTATTCTGGAGGTCATGGAATTGACCCAGAAACTGACCCAAGAACCGGGTGCTGACTGTAG